AGGGATAATTATTTTGGCAAATTGTAAAGCATTTAATAATCAAATTTATAACTTAAAAAAAAAAATTAAATCATGCACTTATATCATTAGATTTTCTTTTGTAGATGTATGCTATGTGAATGTTTTTCTTTTGGGGTCAAACCACATATTAGGTCCTTCTACTATAGTGTTTTGTTCAATTTAGTCTTTCTATTTTAATTTTGTTCATATTAGTCTCTATATTTTAAAAATTGAAACAATTAAGGACAATAGCTGATGTGAGCAAATATTTATGTATATATTTTGGACATATTAATGCAATATATTAGTGGTAAAAATAATTAATTTTAAATATTTCTAAAATAATATATGAGTTGGCATGTAAGTATGATGATGTGGCGGAGATAATGTCAGCCCCACATAAGCTATTGTCCTTAATTATTGTTTCATTTTTTAAAGTACAAGGACTTAATTAAACAAAATTAACATAGAAAAACTAAATTAAACAAAACACTATAGTACAGAGACCTCATAGCTACTTTGACTCTTTTGGGGCACATATGTATAAAGTGAGTAGAATAATTCGTTGGAATTGTTAGAAAACCGTAGCTCAAATCATACTTAGTGCTGGCCTTTTTTTTTTTGTCCTCATTTCGAAATTGATTGGGGCCAAAATAATTTAAAACTTAAATTTGATGGTTCTCGTTAACATGTGAACCAGTATACTATTGCGTACCGTTAATCTTGTGATTTATAATGATTTTGACATGGTAATATATATCATTGCGCATCACTGCACAACTGCACAATTGCACCATTGCACCACGTACTCCTCAGATCTCTGCCGTTCAATCTCACATCTCAACAGTGCATAGGAGTTCATATGTTCACACCCAAGCAGTGGTTCTCACCTCAACCGGACCCTGCTATATATATATATATATATATATATATATATATATATATATATATTTGTAGTTGTTAGTGGGAAATAATTGACTACGCCCTCAGATATAGGTCGTCTTTTATTAAGTGGGAAAGGGACTATACGGTGTGAATTTGAAGTGGAAACAGGGTAGAGCATTCTCTTCGTTATCGGTTGACGACGACTGTACTATACATATCACATATGGGTGATAAACATTAATTATTTCCTGTTCTCTTTCCAGCATGAACTCCTATGTATATATACATTGAATCATATTTTTTGATGCTCTTACGATGAATATCGTTAAATTTTACTACCTACTAAATTTGTTTGTCTATTCACATTGAATTTTCTCTAACAAATATATTCGTATGAATTGGTCACTCATGAACCAATATCAACGTAACCTGAAAATACAATTAGGCCACTGAACGAAAAAAAGTTGCAATTAGACTACTGAACACTCCAAATGTATGCAATTTCACCTGATAGCAGGTTACCATCAATTTTATCAGGTTACTTGCTTACGTGGCAGCTGAGTTGGCATTTTTAATAATTTTTAATAAATTTTAATAATAATTTTTATTTTTTTATTTTAAAAAAAAAAACATCGGGGTGGCCGCCATCGTTTTATTTATTTTTTTGAAATTTTTTTAATTTAATGTTTTTTCAACTTTTTAAAAATTTATTATTAAATTAGTTTTTTACGCGCATTGCGCGATTGGGATAATGCCTAATGTTTTTTTTTTTTAATAAGTACTTTAAAGTATATCAAGGCAAGATTATATTGGAATTGTTCATGTATACATAATTGAATGTTGAATTTGCGTATTTAAATAGGTAATTCTAAGTTTACAAACGCAAGATAATATAGTCAAGATTGATTATAATTGTCAATAAAATAGTTGTATAGGTATGATTTAAACCAAATACGAGAAATAAGGGAGAGCAAATAAAAATTAGGGCATAAAATATTAAATATATACTAATATTGAAGAGCTAACTGCTGATTGCCAAACAAGGACATTGCGAGGTAGTTTCCCACTTCAATTTGTTGTGTGATTTGAATACTCTTTTGTCATTAAATCCCCCAAGTATTAATATGATTGGCTTAATTAAATATATATTTTTTTATTTTTTTAAAACAATTATTATTATTATTATTATTATTATTATTATTGTTATTATTATTGTTGTTGTTGTTGTTGTTGTTGTTATGTATACCCTTAGGTCATTTTACATGTTAATCTAAACATCTAATTTTTTCAAATATCTTTTTACCAACCGTTGATATAATTCGCTGGTCAAATTCGCTAATATAATCCGCTAACGCTAACCGCTAACTGCTGATTGTCAAATAAGGACGTTGAAAGATAGTTCTCACTTCAATTTGTTGTGTGATTTGAATACTCTCTTTGTCAACAAATTCCTCCAGTAGTTAACATGATTGGCTTTATTAATTATATTTTTTAAATTTTTCCATGGTATTAATAAAATTCTTGGTAAATAAATATATAACATTATTTTGTATTATAACTTTGATATTTAATTAAAAAAATAGTGCACAAAAAAGATAATAGACAATGTATTGAATATAATCAATTTGATGAATTTGAATATAAAGAATTTTTACATTAGAGAAAAATAAAGACAATATAACTAATAAAATTATTTCTCTTAATTAATTTATTGATAATGAATAATTTTTTTTAATAAAGACATTGTAGGGACAATGTAGCGAATATAATCAATTGATGAATTTGAATGTAAAGAGTTTTATATTGGAGAAAAATAAAGACAATATAACTAATAAATTATTTCTCTTATTTAATTTATTGATAATGAATATTTTTTTTTTGAATAAAGACATTGTAGACACATAATTCTAAATTAAAGAAATGCATATGTATTTTTTGTTGTTGTAGCTACAAAATTATTATTTAATTTAATAAGAGTAAAATAGAGTACTAATTATGTCAACTTTGATTGGGATGGAGTTCGAACCTAAGACCTTTCTTATTAAAATCAATGAGTAAGTTAACAGTGAACTAACCGGAATTAACGGAAAAGTTAATATTTAACGGAAAAGTTAACGGATAATCATATTCATTAAGGATAAATTAGGAAATCTTAAGGAAAAATTAAAATCTAATCAATCTGAGTCATTCATTTGATTAAAAAATTTGACCGCCATTTTTTCTACCCATTATAAGCCTAACTCTCTTGGGCTCTTATTAGTATAGTAGAAATTATTATTAAAATTATTTAAAAATTATTAAAAATGTCAACTCAGCTGCCACGTAAGTAGGTAACCTGCTAAAATTGATGGTAACCTGTTGTCCGGTGAAATTGCATACATTTGGAGTATTCAGTGGCCTAATTGCACGTTTTTGGAGTGTTGAGTGGCCTAATTGCATTTTTTTTTTTCGTTCAGTGGCCTAATTGCATTTTCAGGTTACGTTCAGTGACCAATTTGAACCTTATTCCTTTTAAGTGGTGAGGGTATGTTGTTGATATACTCACATCACTACCCGTAACCCGTCTACCCAATGGCGTGTACTACTATACGAGGTAAATCTCGCATTGTGATCCTAGCTAGAATCGCAATGAGGCAAGCCAGTTTAGGTTGCACATAGTTGAGGATTTCAAATCAAGAAGACCAATATAGGTCGCTACTAACAAAAGTCGAAGTTGTAATATTGTGATTACCAAGTCAACATTTAGACCAGCTTAACTCACTCTTTTTTTTTTATTATTGTTCTCAAAAAGGTTGAATCTGAAACCCAAGGCCCCCACACCCCGGCCTGACAGAGTATCTGAGAGAATGTAAATCATGGTAACTCAGCTGAATAGACTCGATCTTGGGTCATTGTTCTCAAACTTCATCCGTATGACCAACTAAGCTGCCCATGCAGACTTTTTTTTTTTTTTAATTATTATTATTGGATAGTGTGGAGGTTCAAACTCAAACTTTAAATCTAGATTTAATTTCGATACTAATAATAACGTTTCATTCAGATATGACTATCTGTTATAGCTTAACACATTTAAACCGACTTTGTTTTGTCAAGATTGGCTACTAATTAAGGTGTAAATGCTATAGTGGGAAATATTGGACTACACACTCAATATCGCATTATCATTGTTTCGTCGCTAATTACGAAAGCGACTGCACCACGTGATGTTGAAATGGAAACACAGTTACTCTAACAATCCTATGCTGACTGACATCACATTATACATCCCTAATAACTGTACTTGTTGACGAAGACTTCATTGGCAAATTATGGTCCATACATTTTTAATATACTAAAAGTACATTATTTGTGTACTAAATGTACATTATATAAAATAATATATTTTTAATATTTAAATAATGTATTTTTTTTAATATAATGTAAATTTTTAATATACTAAAAAATATATTATTTGTATACTAAATATATATTATTTGATAGTATGGTCCACACAATAATAATTCGACATCTTTGGAGAAACATGAATTTAAGTTTTGTTTTCTACCCACCATCAACTCCACATGCATTTATGCATCAACTAACATGCATGCACCCTCCCGGTGGTCGGTGGAAATTCCTTTCATTTACGAGAAACTCCTAAATTGCTACTTGAAAGTGTGTTTTTGATGAAATATGCTTTGTGACTCTAGTTAATTAGACAAATTATCCCATCGATTTGGGTCTATTTTGTATTGTGGACCTTAGTCCAAAATGACATTCAGATTATGTGTATGCAGTTAAAGTGAAGGCACCTAATATGTTAACTACAGGCACATAATACGTTAACTACAGACACATAATAAATTAATTGCAGACACATAATATGTTAATTACATATACATAATGTGTACTGAACATATTATAAGTCTTCAGTTTATTTACAAGTACACAATTTATTAACTGAAAATACAATATTTTAACAATAGATACATAATTTTTAGACCAGGGTCCAGATTATATGTGGACCTTGGTCCATGGTATAACAATTTCCCTAGCTAGCAAAAAATCACAATGCGGTAAAACCAATTTAGATGACTCATGTATAGTTGATTAGTTCAAATTGAGAAGGCCAATAGCTAAGTAGCTTAAAGTTAGAGTCGAACTTAATTAGAACATTTAGTTATCAAGACAATTATCTGACTAATTCCCCTGAATTTGTGAAAATTCTTTTTTTACTGATTTGGTTGTTGCTAAGTTTAAATAATGTTGTTGTAAATTATGTCGGATAGAAGATTGATGTAACTTTTTGTTGTCTTTCTTTTCCAATATGTAAAGAAAAAAGTGAGCAGCGCACTACATGCACCACAATAAATCAACATAATCAATGTGAGCATCTTTTATCAAAAGCAAATATATAATAATTAGCAAGTAAAAGATGAAGTGCCTCATGCCCCATAGGTCTCACCCAGGGAAGACGCCATTGTACCACTCCAATGCTTGAATTATACAAGTATTGTGTGAAATTGTATCACGTTAAATATGTAATATTTTTAGTTAATTAAATGATAATATTTTTCTGTATTCAAAAAATATTATGAATTAATTAAAACTATTATACATTTATGGTATTGCTGCAGTTATTATTATTATTATTTTTTGAGTACTATTGACTCTGTTACAATGTAGTATTTGTGCATACTTTCTCAACCTATTGAAACACGAACCTATGACCTCCCATTTGAGAAAGCAACAGTTATGCCGCTCGACCACAAGATCTTTTAGAGGTAGTTGTTGTTATTATTATTATTATTATTATTATTATTATTATTATTATTATTATTATTATTATTATTATTATTATTATTATTATATAGTGGGATAATCACTATTCTATTCATTTAATAGGTAGTTATATAAGTAATGGGGCAGTGGATACTTGCTATGATCCTGCATATATAGCTACCAATGTAATTGAAGGATGACACTGAAGAACATATTATTGAATTGTCTAGTGACAATATCCTCTCTTTTCTCTCTTTTCTGAAGTTAGACTATCACTCGAAGCATAATCATTTGGAGTTAGACTGTCACTCGAAGTACAATAATCATGTCTCTTCTTCCTCTTTTCTGGAGTTTGGCTCTTGACTTGAAAAAAAAAAATATTTCCATACAACCTTAGATTGTATCAGTTTTATAGTGAGATCGTCTCACGGTGAGACAGTGTTAAGATTAGACTTATGCGTAAACATATGACAGCTGTTGTGAATGGACAGAGGGGAGCTTAGAACTGTATAGTAGTTGTTGTGCATAAATGAGAAAGGGTGGTAGGTTACCACTATTTATGTCCTTTTTAGAGGAATTAGATTCTGATCTTTTGCATGTATAAGAATCTTTGTAATTTGTAACATTGGCAATAGTTAGAGCATAAGGAATATTTTTGCTTTAAAATTGATGCTGAAATATCATAGGAATTATCTCAATAATGCAAGTATAATTATTAAATTAAACAATAGACATAAAAGAAAATATTCATTCCCCTCAATTATTCATAAATTATAAATCTAGTTTATATCTTTCAAATTTTACAAATTTGGATCTTTAATTATTATGTAAGAGCATCACTATGCTTAGTTTTTTCATATTTTTGAAGATCCAATTAGGAGAGCGAAGAGAGAGGGAAAAAAGGAAGAAAAAAAAAAGGAAAAAAAAAATAATCTGACACGGAAACAGGAAATAAAAAAAAAAAAACTAGGCAGGTAAAGCGCCCAACTGGGCACTTGCATCTTCAGCACGCGGAGACAATCATAGAGCTCTGTTTTCATTTCTCAAAATGTGGACCCCACAAAAGTCTATCACTTGCAGGAAAAAAAATCATTTAAAAAAAAAAAAAAAAAAAAAAAAAAAAAACTCCATCCCTCATTAATTTTCAAACTCAAGCTTTGATTTTTAGATATGAAAAAACCCCTCAAAAAAAAAAACCACATATATGATTGCTCTAAGGTGTAAATTCGTACACTAACTCAACTTTTTTTTTTTTTTTATTATAAGGAAGGGGGATACCCTACATATACACACTATTGCCTCAATAGAGGTTTGAACCTTACACCTCCCACTTAAGAGAGCAACCCAATACCAGTGGACTACAAGCCACTTGGTTACACTAACTCAACTTATTAGGTGTCAAAATGTTTTGTTTGTATCTAGGTTTATGAGAAAAATAAAAAATAGATTAAAGTTACAAATATGCCCAGGCCTCATAAAGCTCGATATACAAATGATGTTTGACATCTAAGTTAGTTGTAATTCTAAAGACTAAATGCACATATATATTATTGAAGAATTAAAAGTTCAAATTTGTAAATATTGAAAGAGATTAGAGCAATTAGATATACAACGTGAGAACAATTGAGAGACCGAAATTATTATTATTTTTATATAAATAAGTGATAAGAGACAAATAACTCTCAAACAGCTATTGTAAAAATATCGATTTAAGCTATCAAACTCAATGAAGTTTCAAACTAATATTCAAACTTGGAAAAATTTGTTATTTGAACTTTTAATGAGTTATTATATGATATAATATAATGATAACATGGTAAACTTTGTTGTGAATACTAATGTACAAGCATTAAAGATCAGTAGGCTAGTTGAGACACATTTATTTAGCTTACGATTTATTTTCTCCATTAATCTCTAAGGTAAAAAAAAAAAAAAAAATTACAATCTTAATCCATCAAGCAACAAAACATTGAATCTCCATTAGCAAATTTTTTGTTTAAAGAAATAATTATCCGTATATGCTTTTACCAAAAACTATGCTATAATCAGATATGAATATGAACCAAATTGTAATGGAGGTTCACTATTCCATTGTTTGAGCGATGAAAATTCACAACACTTTTGTAAAGATAAAGGTGTATTATGTCGCAGTTTAAAAAAAAGGAGTTAAAAGGACTAGAGTTGTGTAATTGAGTGATTTTTTCCCTTTGTGATACTTCTTGTGTCGGGATCAACCGTTGTACTCAATTGTTGTACGCCAAAAGTTATAGCTAGCAACGAGGGCCAACTTTATTTCTTTTTACTTACATAACAATCAACATATGTTTTGATGACATGATACTAAACCCGGTCCACAAAACCGATAATTCGTACAATACATAAATAAATACCTAACCAATGATTGTATCTCATATTTTTTTTTTTTTTTTTTTTGAAAGATACTGGTTCTATTACATTGTAGTATCTGTTCATATACTTTCTCAACCTACTGAAACACAAAGAACCAATAACGCCTCCACTGAGGCTCAAACTCATAATCTTCCAAATGGAAGTCCAACCCGGATACCAATGATTGTATCTCATATTTAAGTTAATATATAACTAAAATGGTAGTAAATATAACTTGAATTTGATTATGGCCATGTTTGGTAACATAGTTAATTAGCTTATCAGCAAATTTTGACTTATTTGGTCACTATTGGTTGTTTGACTTGGTTAAACAACCAATATAAGTGTTTAATTAATTAACTTTTTGGTAACAGCTTATTGCTCCAAAAAGCTAAAATTCAAAAAACTATTCAAAACACTGTTTCAATAAACTTTTTGAGAAAGTCATTTTGCATATAATCACTATCAGCTAACAACTCATTTACCAAACATCTTTCTACAATCAACTAATGCTATCAATTAGTAGATCCACTAACCCAATCACTTAACAGCTATTTACCAAACACCCCTATATTGCATTACTTATGAATTGTAAATTAAAATATAGATCTTGTGTTTACTTTTTCATGGCATGAAACAATATAGATTGGTTGTTCATCTGTTTGTGAGTGCTTTATTTGTTTGTTAAATATAAACATTGTATGCATTATATGTCTTTGTGTTTAAATTATTTATTAGCATATTTTCATTAAAGTTTGTGCAACACTCATCTTATCTGCTGTGGTCTGATCTGATCAATTGCAACAGGTTGAATCCCATGACTTAACAGTATATTGTCCCTATAAATAATTCAATATAATTGCGATCAGACCCTCTTTAATATTTTCCAAAGTAAAACTTTAGAGGTAATGCTTCATAGGCTGTTAATAAAAGCTTGATATCACTTTATTATTATTGAGAATAGAATATTAAAAATATTAGTCCTATACTACTTTAATTTAATATTAGAGTAAATAAAAGATATTATGTTGCCAACTACCGTGTACTGTTATGATATCCCGGTTATCATTCTAAATGGGTGGTCATAGGTTTGAATCCCGGTGGTACTTAGATTCTTTAGGCTGAAAATGTTTAAGAAAGTATATAAGAGATACTATCTTATAAAGAATCATGAGTATTTAAAAAAAAAAAAAAAAAAGAGATAATGGTCATGTTTGGTAAAATAGTTAGCTTATCAGCCAATTTTGACTTATTTGATCACTATTAATTGTTTGACTTTGTTAAAAAAAGCAATATAAGTGTTTGGTTAATTAGCTTTTTGTAACTCCAAAATGCTAAAATTCAAAAAGATGTTTAAAGAAACTTTTTCAATTAGTTTTTTCAAAAAAAAAAATTTTATATTTATAGTTATGAATATATAGTTATGCAAGTCTGAATATATAGTTATGAAGTTATGAAGTTATGGATATATAGTTATGAAGTTATGGATATATAGTTATGAATTTATGGATATATATAGTTTTGAAATTATGGATGTGTAGTTATGCAAATATGGATATGGTTTTCTGTATGTGAACAAGCACTTTAAGAATTATGAATATGGAGTTATGTAATTATGAATGTCTAGTTGTGAAATTATAAATATATGGATATGACATTATGAATGTGTAGTTATTATTTCTGAATGTACTATTGTCAAATTATGAATATAAAGTTATTTAATTCTGGACATATAGTTATGTAATTCTGGATATATAATTATGAAATTGTGGATATATAGTTATGAAATTATGGATATATCCTACTGTTTGAATACGAAAGGAAACCGCCTAACGCCGTTAACGACGATCCGAACGGGATTTTTTTTTTTTAAAATGAAACGGCGTCGTTTTGCAACCGTGTACGCCATGCATGGTGCACACGGTTGCACAACATAAAGATTGATTGCAGGTAATTAGAATGCCACATCAATATCTTTTGTTGACTTAAATGCCCAATTCACATAATAAAATAATAATAATTTTTTAATATTAAATTATTGATTAAAAAAAAAAAAAAAAAAAAAAAAAAACTTGGCCGGCGATGCCAAGACACTTGGAACCAAGTTTTTTTTTTTTTTTTTTTTAATATTTTACTCTTTATAATAATAATAATAATAATAATAATAATAATAATAATAATAATAATAATAATAATAATAATAATAATAATAATAATAATAATAATAATAATAATATTGTTATTATAATTTTAAAAAAAATTTAAAACTTGACTGCAAGTTTTTTTTTAAAATTAAAATATTTAATTTTGCAATAAAATATTATTATGAATAATAATAAAATTTAAAGCTTGACCACAAGCTTTTTTAAAAAAAATTTAAATAATTAATTTTCAATAAATTATTATTATTATTATTATTACTATTATTATTACTATTGTTACTGTTACTGTTACTGTTACTGTTACTGTTACTGTTATTGTTATTGTTATTGTTATTATTATTATTATTATTATTATTATTATTATTATTATTATTATTATTATTATTATTATTATTAGGCATCCAAGTCATCAAAAATATTGATGTTGGATTCCAATCATCTTTAAATTGTAAGTTACCTACAATAACATTTCAAATATGATTAATGTACTTTTTTCTAAGTCAGGTGTCGAATTAGAGGTTTTTTTTTTTTAAAAAATAAAATTTGATGGCTTAATTACATTTTCTTGAATAGTTTAAAGGCTTATTTGACATTTATCCCTTTCGTATTTATCAAACAAATAATAATAATATTAAAGAACAAAAATTTACATGAGATCATCTAATGTGAAATATATCTGAATTGAAATATGTAATATATTATTTTAATGAAAATGTAAAGCTTTTCTATTAATCAATAATTGTTACATTTTTACTAAAAAATATTACTTCTATCTTGAAAAGTATTAGTAAATCTGTAACATTATTTAGTAAAAATAGAACATTTGTTAACTTGTTAAAAAATTATATATTACATTTTTTCTAAAATTATATTATATATTTGATATTCATTTTTATACAATGGCTTGAAAAGTTGAATTTAATATTCTGTCATCAAAATGTAACACTGACTACAAGCCTACAACACAAATATAAGAAAATACAATTATATTTTTATTACTAATTATAATTTTTGATATATTAATAATTATTTAATTTTGACAATTGATATAAAAATATGTCACCATCTCATAGGGATAATATTGTTGGGAGTCCTGACAGTTTCACACCCGAACCAATCTTCGACACGTAAAGCAGTTGCCATCATAGTAACAGTTGGAGACAAACAACATTAATTAGTGGTTGTTTGGGCATTTATTAATAAGTTTTTGAGAAAATGGCACTTTTTCCCCCTATGTTATATACTTATAGTACTTTTTCTCCCTCAATTATTTATGTAAGCACATTAGCCCCCTCAATTATTTTAAAAGTGGTGGTTTTCTCCCCTAATATATTTAATTGACATTTCTACCCTTAAAGTAAACATTTTATTTATTTTACTTCTCCAACAAATTATTGCGTATATGTAGCGATTACCACGGTTCGGTTCGAACTGAACCAGACACTATAGCAATCGAATTAAAAGTTTTCAGTTATGATTCAGATCTAGAACCCAATATTTGGATTTCAATTTATTAAATTTAAGAA